CTTCTAACAGTTTCTTATTGTTGTTACCTGGTCATGGTCTGCCTGATGCAGAATTTCTGAGGAAACACTTAATGGATGATTGAAGAAAGAGCTCACAAGACCAGACCCAGCATTGCTTCTTCCCGTCTTCCGCGCTCGACCAACTTCTCCTGCAAATGCAGGCCGCTTGTGGCGCCAACTGCATTGCCGTCATCAACCCAAACAGTGGCCCTGGGAAGAACTTGACCGAGGCCCAGGATTTCGGACGCACCTCCAGTCCCTGCATCACCAAGCTGCGGGCGAAAGGGGTTACATCGCGACCACGCACACCAACAAGGCAGTCGACGCGGTCAAAGCCGAATACCAGCTGTTTACCTCATATTTCTCAACCTTGGATGGGGTCTTCTTTGATGAGGCAACGACCTGGGTGAGCGGGCGCACAGATTTTTCCCCCTTCCTACATGATGCAGGACATGATGCAGCTCTGACCTGTGAAACTAAGCAGACAAGATTGCGGATACGGAGTGAGTCAACGATTGATAACCCTGATATCGCAAAGGATCTTCTTAATATTGCTGAGACCACTCAGTGACTCAGGCTGAAAAGCAGGACTGCTTCTTCGCACTGTCAAGAAGGGATTGCTAGACCAATCTGCCCTTGAACCAAGCTCCGGTGTCTCAACCAGCTCTTCAAGTCATTCAGAATGACCTTGTTGTGGGTCCTGCACTTTCTCAAGTTGGCACCAAGACGGCTGGCACGCATCAGACGTGAAGACGATTTTGTCGCGTCAGTCCTTCGACCAGCTGCCCATATATACTTATGGGCCGCTTCCAAACGTCACGTCGATCAGCATCAACTGGGCTGGTCAATCCTTGACTCAAATTGGTAACTAAAGAACCGACTCTTCCTGGCGTTCAAATTCCCGCTTGAATTGACACAGGTCTCCGTATAACCACACTCTCCGCAGTACGCGGCCAGTCCGGGTGGTGCCGACAACGACAAGAGGTACTACCAGCAAGTGGCGGGCCTAGTTACCGGTACCCGGGTCCTTAACGCTGGGGGCAGATTCGAGCCGTCCATGACTGACATCTTCGACCTTGTGGTTGGGTTTGAGGAGACTGGGAAACAACTGGCCGGCAGTGCGAATTACCACGGCATGTGATCTCATGAGACACGTGGTTTTTGACCTCCTCTCTTGACGCACTTGGCCCGTCGGCAATGTTAGCGCTTTGTCGAGCCCATCAACTCTGACCATAATCTTCGGTTTTGAAGCGCTCTTTTCGAAAGTCTGTTCCAGCTTTGCATCAAAAGACATTTTCAAACACTCAAGCCCTGGACAAAGTCGATTCCCTGCACGAGACGCGCGGGCAGCTAGCTTTGAAAGCGAATTCGGCGCAGCCTGACATAATGACGCCGCATATTAGTAGAACGAAGCCAGCCCGTGTGACGAAGCTGGAGGCAAACGTTCCCCAAATCGGGAAGAACTGAACACGGTATTGAGAGCTTCCGGGATGCTGCTTGGTAGTACGTGATCAAGTTCCTTCGCATCCCGATCAAGCAGACGAGTCGACGAAGGCCCTTACATATTTTTCTCCCGTTTTTCTGCAGGTGCCCCATCCCTACTTTCCCCTCCGCACACAGTGACGACAGCTTCTGCACGGGGATTTATCCCGGAACCAAACCGTACCTTCCCAACGCCGCCCAAAACGACACCAACAAGTGCAGCACCTGCGGCGCCAAGATTGCGTCCCTGGTATATCGGTCGACCGACGCTAACTACGTTTCGGTCGTTAACCAGTGCGCGAAGCCGGATATAACTATTGTTATGTGACCACGGACGGGCCGGATGGGAACCCGTGGGACTCGCTGCCGTCGTACTTCAACTGCTATGTGACCGTGACCTAGTTGGGCGGACAAATGGGATGCCAGCTGGCGGCCACGCGACTGGAGGCGTTATAGGTTTCGGCAGTTTTGAGAGAGACTCGTGTTAAATTGTCGTTGCTGTAATATTGTCAGATGTCTGCACCGCACTGACAATGTTTTCTGTCGTGAACCTCTTGACAGTCTTGATGCACGATGATACATTTGCTGGGCCGCTAACTTAAGTCAGTATTGGATTGACCGCTACTCTGTAAGCTCGACGAGCAGGACTTTGTGTACGAATAGAACGTCGGTAAATGGCCTGTAAGGGTTGAGAAGAATTCTGGTATGCAGGATCCAGTGAGATACAAGTAGGAGCATGTTTGGAAGCTAACCGACCATGTGTATCCTGTAGATCGTACCATGATTGGCCGAAGTTGCACTGTCTCGATCAGCACACGAGTATTGTAGCTTAGTGACCAGCTCACGGGCTGGGACGTTCAGTGCACGAAACACAACATAGGTGCGTCGGAGAACTTGAAACCTCCCTTGTAAGCGCTGGCCCGGGGTTGGCTTCTGTCGCCGGACCCGAGAGTAGGTCTGACGATTGCTTTGATCCATATCAGAGGCTCAATCATACTAGTCCTATGCAGTGAAAATTCTACTCGTGGTTGCGAACGGTAGAGACATAGGTACTGGCATCCAAAAGACGAGCACTCGCATTTTGCAGTGTGACACTCTGCTGCAAGCTTACTAGACGCATAACGTGACAAGCTCACCGGTGGACTGGGGCTTAAAGCATGTTGAGTCCCCCACTTGAATGGGGCTACCCTTCCTTGCCTCAAGCCTTTCATACCTCCTTGATTGTCCGCTTCAGATCCCATAACCTTGCAATGCGTTGAATTTTTTCAGCCGTGTAATCCAACACAATCCATGTGATTCCGAAGACCTATTTATCTCCCGTCTCAACCCCTGTCCGCCTTTCCAACTCGCTCCTTTCCGGCCAACCACCATCTTCTGGTGCCGCAGACTGCTGCTATATGGACCCACTTCCTCTTTCGACTGCGTGGTCGAAGAGTCGCGCCGGGGTTAGCTGTTGACGGCAAAGCTTGCCTTCAGAAGCACACTGGAGGGGCGGTGAGGTGAGAGAAAGCACGGGCGCACGTGGAGGACTGAGCACCGCAGCCGGCTGAATTGCATCCTCTTCCTGAGCGGTAGAGCGACTGTTGGAGCTCGTCTCGTCTGCAATAAAGTGGCTTCCGTTCCGCGTATCCATTCTCGATCCGGACGCCCAGGTGCGGCAGCGCGGACGCCGGCCTTGCACCATGACCGCGACACGCGTACGCGTCCGAAAACCCCGCGGGCGACGCGCCGTACTGCGCGCGCGCACAGCCGGTCGGAGAACTATAATCCGGTATGCTCTGCGGACTCCTTGACATTCAGCTGATCCGTTCCGGCCCGTTCCCGTTCCGGTACTGCACCGGCAGACGAGAGCGCCACCCGCTTTTCAGATTCACCAAAGCATTACGGGCGCCCTTCGACAACTTTTCCGGATGTCTGGTTTTACCGTGGCCAGAGGCCTTGCTAGACCCAGCTCCGCTGCTTCGTTGTTGCGGGCGCCGTCTCGCGGAGATACGAAAGCTGGCTGCCCACTCTGCTTGGGTTCTAAGCGGCTTCGATTCTGACATCCAAGTACTTTTTTCAATTTTTGCGTGCGTGAAGGAGAAATTGGACGTCAAATTCGAGTTACCTTGGGGGTGACTTGAAGCGAGACTTTGGGGTTCGCTCCGATTCTGGTGTCCTGCTGGTACCCATCGTGGGGCCAGCCCCGCGCATTTACAGAAAGCCCCATCTTACGTCTTAACTTTGCCAATCAGCTCCTTTCTCTGCGCGTCTCTCTCGTCGGGCCTGGCGGCCGCCCAGGCCGCGGCCGCGCCGCGGGGGCTGCCGGGTCGTATGGACCGCGCGCCGGCCCGGCGGCGCAGCCTCCTCCAAGACGTAGTGCAGATTCTAACACGTCCTTCGGACGACACAAATGTACAGATGATACCATCCAGAGGGCCTTGGTCGAGGCTCGGTCTTCCCGGGACGATCGTAAGTAAGTCCAGAATCCATTATATCTTTTCGAGAACATCGCTTTGACATCAAGGTGGTCTCCAAAGTGAGGACGGGTGAGTCTCAAAGCTCACGCCTCGCAAGACTTTGCTGGTCTCAAACGGCCTGGCTGAACAGTTCGAAAACCATTCAGTCTTAAAGGGCCGTTTTCGAGACGCCGTCAGTGAGTTACAAGGTTTGAAAAGCTCTCGAGACAGAAACGGTCTCGAACAGACCGGAGCGAATATCCGGATGAAGGGTCGCAAAAATGGGCTTCAAAACGGCTGATATATACGCGCATCACTGATCGCGCGCGTCGACCTTCTCAACATTTACATATAGCAACGGCCATCCTCTCCAGCTTGCACTCCGCTCATTCATCCCAACTTCGCATCTTCACGACCTCATTCTCATGACCTTTTCCGAACGTTCCTGTATCTGCCCCCGCAACTTCAAGTTGGCACAAATCAGCTCACAGTCTCCCAGCCTTTGCATATAGTCTCTTACACGGCGATCCACGTAAACCACAAGAGGTGCGCAAGGGGTACCGTGCGCCGTACACTTAGCGCTGCATACAGCCCGTGCATCACCAAGCTGCGGGCAAGGGGGGTTAAGGTTTTGGGTTACATTGCGACCACGCACACCGGCAAGCCGGTCTCTGCCGTCCAAGCAGAGTACCAGCTTTATGCTAGGAATTTCCCGGTGTTGGATGGGGTTTTCTTCGACGAGGGAACGACCTGGGTAAGCAGGCCGCGCAGTCGGTAACCCTTCCGACACAGGAAGTTTTGGTCCTTAAGCATGGACGGTTCTGGGCTGGTTAGAAACTGGTCATACGTCCAGCAACCAGACTTACGCGTTCACCAGCCCCTAAACAAGGTTAAAGCCCGGTCAATTGTCCAATAACCCGAGTGTTAAGTCTGGTAGTCAGCCTGGTTGGCAGCCAAAACTTCCTGTGCGACTGTTGGCGTCTGCTTGAAAGTAGATCAACCTGCGGGATCAGTATGTGCGAGTGGTCTCAACTGCAAGCCCAGAACTTTCTCTGAGACTCTTAGAGGAAAGTTCGCCCAACCAGGTTGAGCAAAAAAGCGTCTTCGAACTTTAAGATCAAAGGGCTGTCAAAAAAGCTTGCTTTCACGGTCTGTTCTGATGCCTCAGCCAGCCGTTGGATTTGTGAGTAGACACGCCAGAATCCAGAATAACCTCAATGTGGGTCTGGCGTTGAACTGAAGTACGTTAAGATCTAGACGGCTGGCAGCCACCACAACTCCTAGAGCGAGAATTCATGGCAGTCTTTCGGTCATGAGCTGCACCCACAGTTATTGAGTCGCTTCCAAACCTGTCGTCGTGATAAGAGCTGGGCGATCCATCAGAAAGTGGTGGCTGACGACGAATCGAACCGTTTCCCCGGCTGGCGCCCGGTCAGTTTTAGACTCAATTCAAAACCGCAAAATTCTTCATTGGCCTGCTTTGCAGTACAACCCGGGCCCGGGCGGTGCCGATTACGACAAGAGCTACTATGAAGATGTGGCGGCCCTGGTGACTGGAACCCGGGTGCTTAACCCGGGTGGCAGATTCGAGGCGTCCATGACTGACCTCTTCGAGATCGTGGTCGGGTTCGAACAGACCGCGGGCAACTGGGTCGCTAACGCCATCTATCACGGCATGTAAGACACATGCTCTTCCGTTAAATCCTAATTTAGCTCCTTTTCGCAGAGCTCTTTTGCTAGCTTTTTGAGGAGAGGCATTTCCTTTCAGAGCTCCGGCTCCTTTCAGCTATTCTGTCCCCTTAAGAGCTCTCTCAAGCTCTTTGCATTGATTCCGGATCCGCCCGTCTACAACGCTCTAGATTGATTGATCGCCAACCGCATCCGTCAGAGTTTGCAGCGTCTGATTCGCTCTCCTCAGTCATTCGTTGCTGACATTCTCCGTATCAGGTCTGCAGCTCCGAGTCGCATCCTGATCCCCGGTCTCTTCAGGTGCCCCATCCCTTTCTTTACCACGGCACACACCGACGTCATTTTCTGCACGGGAGCTTATCCCGGGGCCAAGCCGTACGTCCCCAATCCAAATCAAAATGACACCAACACGTGCAGCCCCTGCCGCGCCAAGATTGCAGCCATGGTTTGCCAGTCGACCAACGTCACCAACTACGTTTCCATCGTCAACCAGTGCGCAGCGGCCGGTTATGACTATTGTTACGTCACCAATGACGGAGCGGATGGGAACCCGTGGGACTCACTGCCGTCGTATTTCAGCTGCTACGCAACCTAGTTGAAGTGACCAAATGCGTGTCTGGCGGCCAACAAAGACCTTCCAGGGTCTTGCGGAGTTGTGGACGAAACAAAATTTGCTGCTACAAGAATGTCGACTGTTTGGCACCGCAGACTTCGGACAGAGTGATCAGTCCTGCATGACCATTGGCAAGCCTCGTAGCCTGATGGTAAGTTTGCTAGGCCGCTAAGTACATCATGATATCATATTGCTGAGACCTCTAATGCACTGTATGCTCGATCACCAAACGAAACTTGTGCATAGGAGAGGGCCTTGAGTGGCACGTAAGAGCTGAGTTACTGATAAGGTCAATTGAAGAACGGAACCAGGACTTGGAAAGCTTAACTTGTGATTCACAATCGTTGTCAGCTGCCATTGCAGCATCAGCGCGCGGGATATCGTTTTTCAACTCTCGATTAGTGCTCAATCAGCAGACATGTATATTGATCATTGAAAATCTCGGTGACCGGTTCAACTCTCCCTTTTTGATATTGAAATGGGTACTAAGCTCAGGGCTATTCGCATCGAACTAAGACCGTACGTGACCGTCACTCTCAACAACGCCGGCCAGGCCATTGGGAGCATATGAAGCGTACGAAGTACGTCAGAGGCAGCTTATCTTCGGCCGCACCTGCATCATGGCGTGCATAACGGCTGCGCACATGCGACACTGACAGTACAACGGATCATGGCGTCACTAAGCAATGAATTGCGCAGTACCGCGTCTCAGATAGGCTTTGTAAAGATCAATTGGTTAATTTAGAAGCAATTGCAAGGCCGCCGGGCGTATTGTACGGCGGAAAGCTGCAAATTTTAGTGACCGTCATGCAGTATACGTACTGCAATCGATATATGCACCGAAGCGCGAATGTAGAGGACTCCCGTCTCATGATCATTCCACTTGCTTTCAAATCGATCTGGCGCGCATGACGCGTCGACTGTGTATAAATGGCGCAGCATTAAACATTTCTCGCGGGTGATCTTTTTCTGTTCAATATAGTGCATATCAAAAGTCCGGTGCACAGCTAGCAACGAGCCAGTGACAAACATAAGTGATCGACCGATCCAAAGAAAGCTGGATTGGGCACGTACCGTCAATATCTCACATGTATATGCATATACGAGGGGCTCACGTTCCGTGGATGACCGTCCGTTGCAGTCAATTTGCTCGTGTATAAGTTCTGCGTGCACGTTTACATAAGCAAGAAGATAGGCAATCCTTCGGCTTGCGCTGGTTGCATAGGACGGTAACACCGTCGAATCATGACGAGCCATGAATCTTGTCTCTTAGGGTGAATATGTACGTGTTTGGCTACCTCAGGCCAAAGATACTTTGCACTTTTGATCTACTGCTGCTAAGCTACGGCGGGCTCCGCTTTTGACGTCCCAACTTCCCCGTAGTACGGGCGGAAAAACTTCGCAAGCGCCGGCCGTTTGTCGTAAACTGCATCTAGTTCTTCCCCGCCCTCCATATTGTGCCTCGCTTTTGCCACTCGTGCTGCCTGCTCTTTTGCAGCCGCCTCCGCTTGCCTTGCCTCAAATTCTTCCGTTACCTTTCGCGACGCTTCTGCGAAAGCTATCTTCTCTTTCCCGTCGATATCCACAAACGTTCTGCACGCCGTCAAGACGGCCGCATGGAAACCCGGTGCGTTGTCCATGAACACATAGTGCCCCGCCGTTGGTACTCGGATGACTTCTGAAGGAACGGTCATCAGTTTGGTCGCCAACTCGCCAGCCCGGTAGTCCATCCAGTCTTGCATGCCGTAAATGAATGTCGTCGGTACTTTCAACTCGGCCACTCTGCACGCAAGCAATCGAGGATGAGCGCGGTCCAGACAAGCGACTGCCAACGAAGCATCGCATAACCATACAAGGCTAGCAAATTCTCTGCCCAGTCCCACAGTAAGCTCATCGAACCAGGTCCCGAGAGAGTTTTAATCTCGAGCTCGCGTTCCATCACCTCACCAGAAGACTTCCCCTTACTGTAACTAATCTGCATTTGACCCAATGTTTCTGACCCGTGCGCTTAGCCAAGCGCAAACAAACCACTTTTTCAGACCGGATGCGCAGATGAGTCAATAGAAGAACACTTGTACCAAAGCAAAGGATGTATGACCAACTAATTGCTACTTACACCCGCAGGCGATCGTCATGCTGATATCACTCTGGTTATATGAGCCAACGCGAGGTCAGCACATTCGGGAACCATCCAAGACCTCCCGCCAACCCGAACAAATGATGCACGATCAGCGGGGTCGACTTTCCTGAGCTCTGTGAGAGAAGCAAACTTTGTCGTCAAAACCAGCAGGCCGCGACCCCCATTCACCTGTCCAGCAGCAGCTCCCCAAGAGGAAAATCCCCGAGAATCTCATTAGTGAACCAAAGAAGCTTTTTCACATCAGCAGGGCCCAAAGGGACGGGCTCCAGAACCTCAATAAATCCAGAGTCACTTGTCCCCAAAAGATCAGAAGACCCAGAGACTCTTATGATCGAACCAAAGAGAGCTTCTTGACATCAGCAGGGCCCAAAGGGACGGGCTTTATATACCCTAGGATTTTAGTTTCATAGCCCAATTCCCGCGAATTTTTGCGGTGGTAGATATAACCGTTCTAGTAATCTCAACCATTCCAAACTCACTTGTCAAGAAGCGGCTGCCTAGCATATGCCCCCAGCTGGAAGATGTGCTTCAGCGCGAGCTCGCCGCTCCCGCGCGCCGCAATGGTATGGTACATGTACTCGGTGAACAGCTGCCGCTCTTCTTCCGTGAAGGGCTCCCCCTGCGCGCGGCTCCCAAAGCGTACGCTCGTGTAGCCGCGCACAAAGCGTGGGCCCATGGGGCCGATTGACCTGCAATGGCAAACACAAGCGGTCAGATTACAGAACTTTGAAAGAAGGTTCGGGTACTTCAGAGAGCTCGGGACGAGGTGCGTTTCCGCATCTGGCGAGTGTTTCTAGAGGCTGGCCGGTATTGTTGCAAGAGACGCAGTCCCAAACCAGGGGCAGGCCAGTCTAAATAAACCACCAAAAGGGTGAGAATGTTGAAAGCGGGTTGTGGAGCTCAACCCCAAGGCTCTCCGCACTTATCCGTGTAGTTGCCAACGCAAACTGTCCTACTGAATCGTTGGGCCAATCCTGTAAGACGAAATAGCGACTGACGACCACGCGAGAAGAGGTGACAGTCATTCCGTCTTAAAACATGGCTTCGAAACGCCTGTTAACAGGCGATCGTAGGGCGTGCGCTCAAAACTTCTCGTTAGCTGGGGAATCTATCCGAAAATCATCAGTCTGTTTAACAACAGTAGGTTAACAGAGTATCTCGTCACAGGAAGGATAAGAGATAAGCGCAGATTGAGAGGTAGAAGCCTCTAAACATGATCTTAAGGTAGCTGGGTGCTTCAGAAAGCGGTTTATTGGAAGAGAACAATCAAGCACCTTGCTTGGCAAACTTCCTGTAGAAGCCTCTGAACAGAAATGCTTTGTGAAAGGCCGACTCAGTGAGGCCGACTCCGTGATGTTGAGGGTCATCGAATGTCTTAAAGCCTTCAAAGTCTGAGATTGGCTGTCTTGCAAAGAACTCGTACGGTGGCCTTTGCTCGAGGCGGGGATGTTCAATCGAATGGGCAGCACAATGAGGTGACGTTACCGTCGTACTAACCTCGTCGAAGACGTTCCTGCAATCGACCCTTCATCAACTTTCATGGGGGAACGGTCGCAGAACGAGCCCGCATGTGCCCTTTTGGAAGGAGCCCCAATCTCCACGCGAAACCCAGAAAAGAGTGCCAGTCAGTCAATACCAAGTCGTTTACCTGATGAAGCCCTGCGGTGTGACATTCCGCTCCCAGATGAAATTGGATAGGGATCCCTTCCAGGTCTTCTTGAAGTTTTCCAGCGTCTCGCCCGCATGGCCCACGCCGGCACACCCAACTAGAATGAGGTGCTGGATGTTCTCGGGGTACTGGGGAAGAAACGAAACGGCACAAAATGGATTAACGGCTGCCTAACCCTTTAGGGTCCCCAGAGCTATGAAAAGTTACAGAACTTTTTTCCGGCGCGCTAAACGACACAGCAATCTTTGTGACCGTACAAAGTGACGACTTTCCAGTGGATGGGAATGATTTGAGTAGTGGGGAGAGGGATGCTACACCTCACTTCGGTTCCTGGATTCAAGCTCGTGCCAAACCTGTGTAAACATCGGAGCGAGTGACTGCAGGGCATGATTCTCGAGCATGTGCAAAGAATGATGGAATCTTGGGCACTGGCACCCCCGCCACCTTGAAAACCACAGGAGACGTTGCTTGCTAGTCAAACAGAAGTATATGGATCCTACCTTGAGCGCATATTGGGCGGACATGTATCCCCCAAAGGAGTGCCCCATGAGCACCATCTTGTCGATCTTCATCGCCTTCCGCCACTCTTCCAGGGAGTCGATGAAGAAAGCTTCCGTCTCTGCAGCGGAACGTCCGGATTTATCGCCTGTTCCTCAGCGTTTGCTGGAGCCAGGAGTTTGATGCAAGCTACGACGACCAGCTGCAGCGACCAGCTGCGATCTCACACAGGTTCAGAGAGCGTTCTATTCTGACGCGGAAGACCGTGAAGATGTGTCCAAGTGAAATCAGGTTCAGTGACTTCTACTATCGTTAGAAGATTGAACGAGATCCTCAGGACCCTTTCTGAGAAGAACACAGATCAGAGATTTGAATTTGGCACTCCAGCTTCCCAAGGCTTAGAAGGGCGTTGATGTGGCTAATGGAGCCAATCTCGGGCGACGACCGGTCACTGAACCAAAAAAACAATTTGGCACGCCACTTTGCGGCCTCACCTTCTGTTGTCCTTGGTGTGAACTCTGGCCGGCTAGAAGCTCCCCACCCAAGCATGTCCACTGCGTGTACCTTGAAATACTTGCCAAGGACGTCAAAGTTCCTGCAGAAAAGATCATGAGAAAGGATCAGGGCCAGCTCAACACATCCAGATTATAATGGACACACAGCAATCCAAATATGTAACCAAGATCAGCGGCCTTCTGCCATTTGCAAAACTTCTGACGGGGCTGCTGATGACTCTGAATGGAACAGCCATTGGCATTCCAAATGTCGAATCCCTGCTACTGGATGTCTCAGTCGGTTCTTTATGCGAATACACATGCAAACCGCAGAACAATGTGAATCCCAGACTCTCCTTCGCACTTTCAGATATCCAGAAATACATACGGCAACACCAGCCAAATGACAATCCTAGGCTGACCTGAAGTAGAAGCCAAGGGCGGCTCCGTAACCATGGGTGACAACAAGAGTTGGCGCGGAGGGATTAGAGGAGTCTATCGTGGCGGTCCGCATTTGATAGGTGGGGTTGCGTTCCCTGAACCATGAGCTGGGGGAAAGAAGTTTTGACTGCAGCGGGAGGGGCGGAGGGACTGGCACATGGAATTGTCGCACTGGGGTCCTGCAGTCAGTACAAGTCGCATTTAGCAGTGAAACTGCATTCATACAAGATCTAGGTAATCATACAAGATCTAGGTAAAAGCTCCAGGACTTCCGCAGTGGAATCCAGACTGATACCTTCTTTCCACTAACAAATGCCGTTAGCTTGCAACTTCTGCATGGGGTTTTATTCGACCATGATCAAATCTAGCAGCTGAATCCAAAAGAGCGCTGGTAGAATCGTTGATCCCAAGCTGCCAAAAACCTGACCGTTGAGATTTTCTGACTCCATTCCAGCAGCTGAAATGATAGGCTTGAAGCGGCTCTGACTATAGATTCTACATGACCGTCGACCCCTGTGAAAACAGAAAGCCGACGTGATCTTTCTGTGCACTGTCCTTCAAGATTCCACTCACTTGACCAATGTGAACAGTTTCTGCTCCGCCCTCAGAAGCTCCTTCTCGGATGTTGGCCGCCACCTCGTCCACTTCTGAACCCAACTGATTCCCGAAGAGTCCATTTCAGAGGGCTGGGCCAGCAGCTCTGGCTCTGCCGCAGCCATAGAGACGGCCTCAGCGGCCGGGCCACCCGCGGCCATTTGCGGGCCGGCCCGCCCTGGTGGAGCCTCGGCCGCAGCAGAGGTCGCCTTGCACGCCGACGCAGTGGCTTCCGCCATCCTTGCGCGCAGCCGATGCAGATGGATCATAGACTGGTCAGGGTCGCCTGCCCACCTGCCTCGGCTACTCCAAGACAAGAAACCCTAAATTTTGAGGAAGAGTCCAACGCAAGTTCTTGAACCGATGTTGCAGGGAATTCAGGAAAAAGAGGCCTCTCTTGAGTATGCTGCCACGAGTATTAGAGTATAGGAAGGAGGACGCGAACTGGGCCCGCCAGCATGCCCGCTGAAACCTGCATCAGTGCATGCCACGACGCACGAGCAGTACGTTCGTTTCATTCAGAATCACTGTTCAGCAAATTGCAGTCTGCTTGGACGCTTTCCCCTTTCCTTTTCTGACGTCATCGAATCTTCTATTGTCTCTGTGGCGTCCGATGCGATCTCGATCAGCTTTGGGCCGTGGATTACATGACGCTCAATCCTTCGCGCTTTGATCGACGCCAACGCTAGCGCACAGTTCTCCGCCCTAGTTCCTCGGCGACGGAAGAGAAGAGCTTGGACTCAAGCCGAAGAAAGTCACTCACTTCCGCTACAGCCGCCATGGCGGCCGCAAATGCTGTGAGCACTTGCGGAGCTCCAGGTGCTGGCTGTGCTGCCCTATACAACAGAATTGTTGTGAGGACTGGGGCTTCAATTGCAAAAGTCAATTGCTCAACAGCCGAAAACTTCATACATCAGCCGCAGTGTAGCAGGACAGTTTGCAGTTGGAAAAAGGCAGGTTTCCTTTCATCACCAGTGTTGCCAAGTGGTGGTGGTGCAGGGTCAGGGTTAACGAGCTGGAGTGACAGAAGTACAGGTTGCAGAAAGTCTAGCACTCTCAGAAGACACATATGTGTTGCGGAGAGTTTATCAGTATTAGATACAGCTTCTTTGAGACCAGCGTCTGTGTGCAATGCTGCAGGAGGGGTTGGAAGACAAAGGTCTAGCAAGTTTTGCAGGGCAGCATTTGGGAGTGTTGAGAGTAATGCCACATTGGCTTCCGATGTGGATGATCAAAGTGTAGCTGCAAGTTCAACCGGAACGTTGGACGGTCACTCAGAAGGCATTCGGACGGTCCGCTTGGAGACGGCATTGTCTCTAGAGGAGGCCACTGAGCGACTGCAACATGCCGTCCAGTTGCTGGGCAAGATTCATTCCAAAGCGGAGCAAACGGCCCCGCCATCGATGGTGGTACATCGCTACGAAGTGCGTGCTGTTGCCCTACCTCTGTAGTCTTCGAGTATCTCAAGAAGCACTTGTGGATAACTTTCTTGAGATCATCCCAAGCCTTGAATTAGTCATTGTTGCCCTCGTGTTACAAGCTGACTTTATGTGATGCGACCACTTCAAAGTGCAAGAGTCACATTTACAATTGCGCTTACTGCTTTTATCTTGCTGTCGTGTCCAGTTCAACTTATTAATGTTGTTCCTCGATTTTCAGGCAGACTGGTGTTCTTCTGGCGATGTCTCTCAGCCCTTTTGTGTTCTCCTGTTCCGTCCTCCTTTTCCGGAAGCAGCTTCAAAAAGCTGTGACCGCCACTGACTCTCCCAACTCCATCTAAACCGCTTTATTCCTTTCAGGTTCCCATGCCCCCAACTGTGAGTGCCCTCCGATGGCTTCGCTCCCAGCCCGCCACCCCCGCCCTCCTGCCCCGCATCTACTACTCTCCCAGGGTTCCTCGAGGGGGTGACGGCGGGGCAGGCAACACTCAAACTCTGCGGGTCGATGCCAGCAGTGCGAGTGGGATTGATGGAGGGGGGATTGGCTCAGTGGCAGGAGTGGGAGCTGCTCTGACTGTGACCGGTGGGACATTCTAGCTTGTTGCCTGGATTAAACCTGTGGTCCTGGCACATCGCTGACTTTTTGATCCACTCGAAATGCGTTATTAGTAGATAGGCGCTTGTACACTTGGCAAATGATTGTAACATTCAGTGACAGTGTTAGTGGAACATTTCTAAGGAAGGTTTATTAAGGAAGTCAGCAACCTCTCCGGTGGTTGTGCCCCTCGTAAGCATTGTGTACTCCTGCGGTTTCACCCACATTCGGTTCGCTCAAAGCGAAGCCTGATTTTACAATCTTCGACTTTGATTTCGCACCAAAAAGCGAACAAGCTAGCTTCATGGAGCTGTCGATCAACGATGCAGCGACCAATCTGGCATCTCGTACCTGAGATACCCAAGCTTGGCCGCTTGAGCTAAGAATGCTGATCGCATCAGCTCGAGAATCATATCTCCGCAAGCGGTGCAAGAAACCTGCACTCTGACCGCCTCGTGCTGGAGTCTGCAGGGACTGGGCCGTTCGAGTGGCAGGACTGGGCCACCGTTCGCTCTTACCTTTCGGCAAGCTCGCCGTTTGTCAGAGCGTATGGGGGCACCCGCTTCAACGACGGAGAGACCCCCTCCTCGGAGTGGGCCGCTTTCGGGTCACATTACTTCGTCATCCCTCAGGTGAGTCTGCTGTGACGAGACTCAATGATACATGGGCTGAGAAGGTGGAATTGAGAATGGATCAATGGATCCTTTTGGTATCTGGCTCCAGAAGTAGGTCCAGAAGTATCTATCTGGCAACCTACCTTTCATTGGTGCGATGGCCAAGCCATGGAATCGACCATGTCGGCAAATGTTTCCAGCTTACACTTTTGTCTGCGTGACACTACTGGTCTTCTTTCGCATCTGGTTACTGCCCAAGTCAGATAGACTACGTCATATCTAGAAGATCGTCACGGTTCTGAACCAGTAATTAAGTTTGCACAAGCTGTCTGGCTCACGTGTCTCTCTTCGGGCAGGTCGAAATCCGGGAAGGCGCTTCCGGGGCGCTTCTCGCATGCACGGTTCTCTGGGGAGGGCCGGCGGCAGGGGCACCATCTAGAGACGCCGCTATCGAAGCGGCACAGAGCGCCATGGCCCAGGTTAGTCACCCGTCCATGTTCCTCCGGCCACACGAATGTTCACACACTGTGCTTTCAGATTCCAGAGCTTAGATTGCTCATTTGGCAAGCGGGCGGATTGCTCGTTTAGAGTGCTCACCCGCTTCCATCTCTGCCTGCACTCTTAGCACGTCGGCAACACGATTTTGCAACTGAGTAGCGTAAGCATCGAACGGACTAACCCAGTCTGACGTCATTCCTTGTCCTTCGGCAGTTGTCGAAGCACGTCTGTGCCCGGGAGCCGCAGCCGAGTCTGTCGGCCGTCAGCAAGACGTTCCACCCCGACCAAGAGGAGTGGGTCGCCGCTGTCGAGCGGACGCTGGCCTCCTTTCCGGCGACCACTCTGGCGGTGCGGCAAGGCGTGCCGCTCTCGGACAACATGCCGCTCTCAAAAGTACGGCTCTTTGTCAACCTTGAAGATTGATTGGTGCCTGTTGAAGTCTTGCACTGGGGTGAACTCAAGCGGAGGCGTGACTCTGACTCGCCGTTCGGACTGGAATCTGTCAGCTCTTGCTTTGACGTTCTTGCCCGTGTTTGTAGTATGTCCATAAATTTACGAGAAAAAGTCAACTCTTGGGGATATGTCAGGATATCAGAGTCTTGACTCTTCTGTCAAAAGCTCTTTTGCCAACAATCTGGAGTGGCCAATGGTGCCGTTCCCATCGCTGCTTTTTTCGTCGGCTCACGTAACGTCCCCTCCCACTCTTCGTCCTCTTTCTGTTTCTCTTCGAAGCTCCTGCCCAGGTGTTTGTCTACATTCGGAAAAGCGGTCATTCGTCGAATTTCAACGGTCATTTCTTCTTACTGGCGTCGTACCTTAAGGCACTTGAGCTGAAGAATTTTGGATACTTGGAAGGAGGTTGAACGCGCAAGGGATCCTTCAAATTCTGCCGGTAACCTTTTGTCCATCATTCATGTCCTCGCCTTTACTTCAGGTAGTGATGGCCCGAAGGACCACTCTCGAGATGGCGGAGACCGTGGATCCTCTTGTGGTGCTCGAGTGCCTGCAGGAGCGAGACCCCAGCGCGTACCAGTTCCTGATACAGCTCCCCTCCGGGCAGGCCTTTTTTGGCAGCACGGTGAGCCGCCCGCGTCACACGCGTTTTGAAACTATTCAGTACGCTGTTGCAAAGGGTTTGAGCTCTGGTTAAGGTGGTGCCAGGAGATTCTTACGAGACTCAGTTTGGACCAGCTTAGTATCAACCGTAATACGCTGATGCTCCGGTTTGTATGAGAGTCCGGTTACTAACAACTTCAAAAATCTAGTGGTCAAAGACCTCTTCTATCAAAAGCTGATTGCAACATTCTGCAAGCGGATTTGTGCGCATGAAAGCCTCCGCTTGTCAGGCGGACAATTGACCACCCGTCGTCAGTCTCTAAATTCTCAAGAGTTGCGCTTTGCAAGAAGGTTGGTAGGTCTGACAGGCACTTTTATGCTTATAATTTGGCTTGGTTAGCACAGAATACCGTGTTTTCCGCTCTGATTGACTGACGCTCCATCATTCCTTGGCAGCCGGAGCGCCTATTCGTGAGGCACGGCTTGGCTGTAGCCAGCGAGGCGGTGGCCGGGACACGCCCCCGGGGAGTGCCCATCAATACGCCTATGGACCAGAAGATTGCGTATGAGATTCTCCTGAGCGAGAAGGAGAACCGGGAGTTTGACATCGTGCGGGACAGTATACACGCACACATGCAGGTGAGCGTGGCGCTTCGACCCCCCGGGTGTGCAGGTCCGACGGACTCCGAATTATGCTACGAAATGAAATATGCGGCAGACGATTACAGTGATCTTCTGCAGTCAGAATAGAGGTCTCGCTTTTTCGAACCAGCCATTGCTTTTGCCTGCGCTTCATCTTTGGCTGTTTCGCAATGGACGGAAAATGAGCATCGATTAAGAGTTTTAAGAGACGTGTTGGGGTTTGCTCTCAGCCTGCTACTCACGTTGCCCACGCCTCTCGAAGTTGTCAGTGAAAACAGTCTCATTGAGCGCTTTGCTGAGTTTCCGTAGCTGATTGCCTACGTCGCCAGGGTCCGGACTGCCACTTCCTACTGCTAGTCGACGGCTGTCTACGAATACAAGCAAATGTGCTCGAACCTCCTCGTCTCTGGGACGATCCGCGGAGCGAAATCGTTAAGCACAAAAGCTGACGCCCGGTTGGGAGATCAGCAGACCTTCCAACACTCAATACTGAACCCAACCTCCAACCCGCAAAAGTTAACGCTTGCAATTTTCTTGCATCCGTAGACGGTGTGCGCCGCAGTGGAGGTGGAGGTGCCCAAGAAGCTGATCAAGCAGGCCACCGTGCAGCACCTCTACGGACGCCTCAACGGAACGCTTCTCTCGGACGCACAAGAGGTAAGTGCGGACGGCTCACACCGCCGAGTTAAATCTTTGATTGGCGCGCTTTTGGAGAGGAGGTTCTGCTGGCGTGGCTTCTGCAGGAAACGCAATGCATGATTGGGTACCTTTCAGGGGCATCTAGCCTCCTCCCCGAGGTTCGTCTGTAACTTCTGGCGTTCTGGTTTGAATCAGAAGCTGGTAGAAGTGTAAATAGGGTCTGGCCTGCTACATCTAGGGTGTTCGGGCAAGTACTTTAGAGCCCTGAAGTTGGAGTTGATTACAGTGCTGCTGGCATTGGGCACAGGTTTTGAGGATGATTCTGTCTCCCTATGCAGTTCGACATGCTGGCCAAGCTTCACCCGACCCCCGCTGTATGTGGCCACCCCCAGGCCCCAGCCAGGGAAGCGATCTCTGCAAACGGTAAGCAGCGGTAGTTTGTCTTGCCTCTGTGACCGAGGCGCAGTAGGTACTTTTTCGTCTCACGGAGTTGGCTTTCGTCAAGAAACCATGAAAGACAACCTGTTTCGTTTTCAAGGTCGACAGTCGCCTTCAAACGATCATCGAGTGAAACAGCCTCAACTACAATCGGCAAAAAGCCATACTTTACGTTACACAACTCGCTACACTGACCATGATAAACCCGTTCTTTTTGTTTGAAGACGGAGCTTTGCTTTACGCGATGCTCATTGAGCCCTTGACAAGATAAAGCACTTATTCAACGGACGTGTTTCCTTGCGTCTGACAGAGCCGTTCGATCGGGGCATGTATGCCGGGCCCATGGGCTGGCTCGGTGGAGACGGCTGCGAGTTCGCGGTCGCCATCCGTTCCGCTCTGACACACTCCGCCGAAAATAGTGGATCGGAAACGGAAGGATCGCAGTTAAGAGCACAACCGAGCGCTAACGATACCAGCCTTAGCGAGCAAAGCGGTGTTGGGCAAATTAACGGAGTAGAAAGCTGGGGGGAGCGGGCGGAGGGGGCAGCGAATGGGCGGCAAGGTGGGGAGAGCACCAGCGGACGGACGGACGGGAGCGGCGAACGTGCGTTTCGGTCCGGCGGTGGGAGAGCCAAGGCGCAGCAACGGTTGAGGCCTCATGACTCGGTGGACGCGACTTTCGACGGGGAGCTAGTAAGAGATGTAAACGGGACGTCAGGTTTGGACCGCATTGTCGAGGAGAAGAGTTCTGGAAGACGACCGGGGTTGCCAACTGCGGAAACGGATGGTTCTTGGAAGACAAGTCGCGTAAGAAGCTCAGCGGAAACCTCGGAGGTGACGTTCCGGCCCGGAAAGAAGATCTCCTTGTTCGCCGGTGTGGGGATCGTCAAAGGGGCGGACCCCTTGGCGGAGTGGAGGGAGCTGAATTTGAAGACAAGCCAGGTGAGGAGGATGCAGAGACAAGGAGCTGGCTTCCAGTTCTCCATGTCGTTGGAGGTTCAAGGCTGAATCCTGCGTTGTCCAGATTGTAGGCCCAGCGAGAATCCAACGTCGACCGAGCCCAAAGCTTCTCAGATGCAACATCAGATCCAAGAAGCCCTGCAAGTGCGGGTCTCAGGTGGCCTCCGAAGCAGGGCGCGTGTCTCTGCGCTGCGGATCCAATTCCGCACGCTTGCTCTTGGATTCGAAATCCAAGTTGCCTGCGGCTATCGAGACAGAGCCGTCTCTGAAGCTGTGAGCTTGAAAAGTCGGGCTGACTCCAACCTGCGCATTCTTGCAGTTTGAGAGGATATTGTCGCCGCTGCCTCCGCTGAGCGAAGCGCCCAACGTTAATGCCCTCTGGGCAAGGCTCGTCGTGGAGGAATGCTGCCGGCTGGGTGTCACGGTAAGCTTCAAGTCGGCGCTGGTCCAGCTAATGTATATCTGTGTTGTGAAAGTGCACGATCGTGCTGACTACAGCGTCCAAGAGCCTGTTTAAGAGGAAGACGGAGTCTTCTGCAGATGCTTACTAGTATGTGTGCATGAATGTGATTCCGGCGTCCCAGGCGCTATTCTTAGCAATGACGAGACCGCTTGCATTGGTGCGATACTGCGGATCTTGGCTGGAGGGGAGAATTTTGGTCGTGCTGGAAATCAGAAAGAAGTACGACGAGAAGTATACCTTCTGATGATGAGCTTTCGAACGCTGCCCTTGCCTTCACGCCGTACTCTAAGTTTTCCACAAGCTGGATCTTCATAGGCTGCTGCTGGATGAATCTGGTTCGCCTCCTTCAAAGAGACAGACCGCCCATGATAGTCCGCTTCAAGAGTCCACCATGTCCATCGCTGCCAGGAGCTAAAGCAAGCTGTAGGAATTTCCCCTGATTGATCAGCTATGTCGCACAGTATTTTTGCATCGCCCCCGGCTCCCGCTCCTCTCCGCTCGCCGCCGCCGCCGCCGCCAACCCGCGCGCACGCTGCATCTCGTGCATCGACGAACGCTCGCTCGCGTTCCACGCCCTTGGCTACGGCCGGGCCAGGCACGTGCCTGCTGCCGTCATCACGTCGTCAGGAACTGCGGTGTCGAATCTGATGCCCGCGGTGAGCACCCAGCAACACGTGGCACTTTTTGAATCGTCGCTCGGTTCCGCGCTTCAGCATTGTCCTTGTTGGCTCTGCTTACAATCTCGTAACCCTTTCGGAGGTTGCAGCAAGCTGTTTGGGATTTTTCAGGGAGATCAACAAACTTTCCAGCTTCTCCTTGAGTTGATCGATCGGCAGTGAACGCCCTGGGTCTGTTTACCTTTCTAGCGTGTGACGAGACTCTTGTTCAGGTCTCACAACTTACCGCCAACTCTCTGTACACCAATCGCCCCATCACCTGTGCAAGTGCTTCTTGATAAACTTGTCCGAATCAGGTGGGTCGACCGCTTTTGCAGATACGATCATTGGCATCGGAGCGGATAAGTTCGGCGGAAACGTTAGCTTTTCTGAAGCCTTTACTGTTTACAGATCAGCCATTCGCAGTCAGCGTTCGTCTGCTCTCAACTCTGGTGCTGCGATTGCAGGTCGTTGAAGCGCACCAAGACTGCGTGCCTTTGCTGCTGCTAACGGCGGACCGGCCACCCGAGCTGCGGGACACCGGTGCTAATCAGACCATTGATCAGGTGGGGGCGTCAGAGCAATCTGGCGAAAGGCGATGTTTACGACAGAGTCCGTCGTTCAGGTTACCCCCGTTTTGGAGCTGCTGAGGGTCTCACTCACGTACCTATGTTCGTTTCGGACGTTGGCGGCATATAAAGAAGGAGCACGATGCCGAGAGTTGCAATGCAAAAGAGTTGCTTCTACCATAGGAATGCCTATGCGATTTCGCTTGAGCTCTCACTGAACACCTCATGTAGGCGTCAAGAGCAGCAATACTCGATCAAAGCGCCACTCTCTGAGTTGCATGTGGAGAATCCGCCGCACAAGCACCAAAGTCGCACTAACCCTTAACCACTTTCTAGAATCTAGACTTGCTCGCTAGCAACGACACAGGGTTCTTACCATCCTTGCAGGTCAAACATTTCGGCGGATTCCTTCGCTACCATTCGGACCTTCCCGCTCCGGACGGTGCCCTGCCCGCCCGCATGGTCCTCACCACTATCGACCAGGCCGTCTATCGTAGCACGGGTGAGCCTTTCTGCCATAGCACAGCACAATTTCCTTATATTGAAACAACAGCGTCCTTCAGCGACCGGAACATTCTACCGGAATGATTCAGGCAAAGCATACCACTCGACAGAAGTCGTCTTGTCTCGGCGAGGGAGAGGGTTTCGAGAAGATGAAAGGGGGCGCGTTCTGTAATCGCTATGAGCAACAAGAGCTGCATTGATTGTTCTTTTGATCCAAATTCTTGAGTTGAGGTGTTGGAAAAGCTGGCTCATTGTCGGGGCAGACTGCTGACGTGGCCCACAACGCACACCATTTGTTTCTGCAGGCTCCCCCGCGGGCCCTGTCCACATCAACCTCGCCTTCCGGGAGCCCCTCACTCCCCTGCCGAAGCCGTTCCCGCCCGCCGTTCTACAAGGCCTCGAGCGGTGGCAAGGCAGCGCCGCCCCGTACACATCGTACGTCCGAAGCGCGAGCAGCGGCCGCGATTCGGCTGGCGAGCTGTCCGAGATTGCAGAGGTTTTGGCGGGGGCGAAGAAGGGCTTGATTGTGGTCGGGGGGAGGGGGGTGGGCCGCGAAGACACGTGGGCGATCTTGAGACTGGCGGAGTAAGTGACGAGATAACCTTACATCCAAACAAGCTGAGGAGTTAGTATCCGATTTTTGGTCTTAAGGGCTTGCGAACGTGTATTATGTGTTTCGCGGAGTCCATCTCGGGTTGACTATTGCGATGCGACAAGAAGCTAATGGAATGCTGCCAGGACTCGATTGTTCGGACGCCACTCGTTGTGATCCGCGAACCGTTCCTCTCATATCAGAAGCTCTCAACTCTACTACCTGTTTTGGATGTAGACTTGTAGCCATTGCTGGTAACAGCTGCAAACTATCGGGTTTCAATCCGCTCTTGCTTGGGTTCTGCCCTTCCCTGAATCTCTTTGCGAAGCCGAGCCCTCGAAACGGACGAATGCTTAGGGGCATGGATGCAGTGCTTCAGAAACCTTCGTCCAAGTAACTCCAGCGCTTTTGCTTGAGCGGTTGAGCATTTTACTTCGTAATCTGAGCCCCTCTTAACGTAGCTTCAAACCAGGGCAAAATCCCTGATGACGTCTGCTCTCCCCTTTACAGGGCGCTGGGTTGGCCAATCGTGGCGGACGCCGCCTCGGGCCTCCGCGTACTCCGCGCCCGCGCCTCGACCCAAGCCCCTAAACCTCCAGTGGTTTACCACTTTGACCACGTGTTATTGGGCGTCCAAGCGGAACGAGCTCGGACGCTCTTGGCGCCGGACGTCGTTCTTCAGCTCGGCTCGCGGCTGACGTCAAAGCGCACGTCATCATTCTTGGACGGGTTGCCGCTCCGGGCTCACGTCTTGGTCGATTCGCACCCGTTTCGGCACGACCCGAGCCACGTGTTGAGTCACCGGGCAGAGATGGGAATTGCCACTTTTGTAGACGCAGTCTTGGAGGCAGTAGAGGAGACAACGATTTTCACACCGCTGAGAGGAAGCGGTCTAGATGGGCGGGGGGAAGGTAACTGCTCTGGTATCAGTTTGCGCGAGCAAGTGGACGGTCTTCACGAGGACTCTTCCTTTGACGCCCCTCTTTCCACTAGACGACGTTCAGAGAGCTTCAATGGAAACGGAACCAAGCAGACCCTGATAAATAAAGAGCCAATTGAACGGATTGGGAAGAACCCGGAGCATGCCGAATTCAGCGGTCAGAGTCGTTCTGCACTGAGCGAGTACGGTCGGATGCTGGTCGAGCTGTCAGAAGCCGTGGGCCGGGAGATCGCCACGTGTCTCGAAGAGGAGGAGGAGCTGTCAGAGCCCCACGTGGCAAGAATCGTGGCGGGGTCCATCGCTGCGGAGGGGGCGCTGTTCTTGGGGAACAGCATGGCCATCAGAGTGAGGATTGCACGCCTCAGACTGAAAAAGGTCAAATGCAGAACAAGAATGTATTGTCCAGAAACGCTCTGTTGATTTGATAAGCCTTTCTGTTGCCTTCCTGAAAGGAATCTTTCATTTGGGGCCTTTGGCGCAGCGACTTGCCCTCAATGAACAATTTGCCTTCTTTGGATCGCGTGATTGCTCCGAAAATCAATGTGCACTGATAATCAGAAAGGAGAGAAGATTTTCAGAACCGAAGTGACAGACAGAAAGTCGGCAAATGCCCGTCCAACAGTTTGAAACCCTGCCTTTACATGGTGCAGGACGTTGACATGTACGCAGAAGACTTCCTCTCGGGGGCCCTTCAAGCCGGCACCGGGCCCCCAGGGTACGGAACTATTCCCGATTCTGGCGCAGCAATCGGTCCGGCGAGCGTGGGGCCGTGTGTGGCGGCCAACCGGGGGGCGAGCGGCATAGATGGAGTGCTCAGTACTGCCACGGGGTTTGCTGCGGGGCTGGGGCGGCCGGTAAGATATTGAACTCAAGAAAGTATAAATAGCAAGCCGAGAGAATAACAAGGTAACCACATTCGGACGGGTAAGGTTAGTATGGTGGTTAGGATGGGTATGTGTGTGGAGCGGGCACCTTTTGGGATAGGGTTGTCAGTGTTAGTTGGAGCTTATTGTTGTTCTGGCTTATCATTATCTTTCTTGAGATTTATCGGTAAGATGCCTCTGCCCGTTGGAAGGGGTTTTTTTGTGTCAGGCGCGCGTTTCACGATTGTTTCATACTGTTCCTGTGCGTTTTCTGCATTTTGACACCTGTCAGATGGTCCCGTCCACCAGGGACCACTTCCACTTCTTCCTTTCATGCCTGAAACCGCACCCGCTTCGCACAATTGAATTGCAACCTTCCGTTCGCTCTTTCTGGAATGCTGTCTTTTGATTAACACGTCACTAGCTTCGGTCACTAGCTTCGGTCAGTTTAGGCAGAGATACACTGCAAAACGGGCTCCTCACCAGAGTTGTGTCTCGCTTCTTTCTTTGACTGCCGGAGCTCCTGCGACAAGCCCGTCTTCCTTCGATTGACAGCGAAGTTCAACTTCCATTACTTTTAAAGTACGACAGCTTTTGTGAATCTCCGTTTCTTGCACATCTACTCAGTTTTGTGACCCCCAGGAACCAGCGAACAGTCAGCGCACCACCTTAAAATATCTTTTGTACGGACACCAAGTCCCTTCTGCTGTGCTGTGCAGGTTACGCTTCTTGTCGGTGACGTATCCTTTCTGCACGACACCAACGGCCTCCTGTTGGTCAACAACCGGCCGGGCCAACCCCCGGTCGTAACCGTGGTGGTTAACAACTCCGGGGGGGGCATCTTCAGTCTGCTTCCCAATGTGGACTCTATCCCCGGGAGCCATTTCACCCAGCTCTGGTCCACTCCCCACGACGTCTTCCTTGATCGGCTCTGCAGCGGGCACAGGTAGGTTAACAGCTTTCAAGGTTCTTGATCTATGGGGATGAAAAGTGCTTCAACGGTTCAGTACTTACTGAGGAGGCCGGTCAACTGTTACTGTCTGTACGTAAGCGGTCTCAATAGGATGAATCGCTTCAGCTGGAGCGTCCTCCGATGAGAATGAACTGCCGCATGAGTATAGGAGGATTCTGTCCACTTTCATAGGGGCAGTATGAGCACAAACTCAGCCGTAATCACGGGTGGAGTTGAAAGGCTGGTTAGTCGGTGCTTCAGGTTGATCAGGTGATTGGGTGCTCTTACACACCTGCCGAGTGCGTCTCAGGTTGATTGCCAGTCATACCATCTCTTTAAGCCGCGGACTTGTGATCTCTTCATTAGACGGATCAGAAGGCTGGCACTTCTCGCTCGCGAGCCGGTTTGGTCCAAGTCTACGCGCGTGACCCTCCTTTTGACCCGCAGGGTCAAGTACACGTTGGCTCGGTCGCCGGAGGAGCTGCGAGCCGCGCTGGCCTTTGCGTGGCAGCGGCGCATGAGCTGGGTCATCGAGGTGCACACGGACATCGACGACAACGTGGCGCACCACAAGTAAGACTTCCTCCTGCGTAATGCTTCGTTCTTTTGTCCTATTTTCTCCGCTTTGATTATTGTCTCAGCTTTCCTTCCCGTTTGATTTCTACCCTCGTTGTCCCCCCTTCTGTTGTCATCTTCGCAATCTTTACCTATGTCGTTTACTTTTTTTGTCCGCTGCCGTGGGCCGTTGTCGCGCACCACAAGTGAGTCACTTCGTGTGGAGTGTACTTCGAATACATTTTTTAAATTCGTCTTCGCTTTCGTTGCACTTTTCCGTCGCACTTCCCCGCAGCTTTCCCTCTTCTTCCGTGCTTTTCACGTTCTTGTTCCCACTTTGTCGTGTTACCTTTGCTGTCTTCGTTCATGACGTTTCCAGATTCTTTCGCTGCAGCGGCAAGGCATAAACTTTCAAGATAACCATCTTTTATCCTTGCGTCCAAGTCTGAGTCACTGCGTGTATGTCTTCTTCACAGGGCGTTACAAGCTGCCGCCAAGACGGTTGTAGAACGCGCCATTGCCTTCGATCGCCCTCTCGTCCCCCCTCTCCTTAGCTCCGCATCCCAAGCCCAGCGCGAGATCACGGACGTCCAAATCAGTCGGTACACGGTCCAACTGTCCGCACCTCCCACCACCAAAGGCCGCACAGCCGATGGCGCCCAATTTAGAAATGGGCTCTTGGTCAGAGTCGTTCTGCGAGGTGGGGCTGTGGGTACCGGCGAAATTGCCCCCCTGGAAAGCTTACATGAAGAGAGCCTGGAAGAAGCGGAGGAACAAATTTGCGCCCTGAGAGAAGCGCTGATTGGGCGGAGCCTTCCGGGGACGCTGCCGCTGCTGGGCGGAGCGATTGCCACGTGGCTGCGGGAGGAAGCGGGGATCGACGTGAGTGCGGAAGAACTGGCAGAATGTGCCCACACTCGAGACCCTCTTGCCTGGAATCATTGCTCATACGGAAGGTTGAGTCACGACAGGAGTGGCGGTCTTTGGTTCGCCCAAAATGCGGTCATGTCTTTCATTAGTGGTAGATGATTAGCAGCAATGAAAAGTCCGAAACGATCGACAAAGGAAGGGTGACAAGTCTTGGGGGTTGCCAACAATAGAACCATGTTTGGGACCCCAGAATGTGGACCAAAGGTTTATCTGCATTGGTACTCTTATTTGTCGTACGATTGATCTCAGTCTTGTCCCTTTTGTCCGCAGGCCGCAGCTCTCCTCCCCAGCGTCCGGTGTGGGCTCGAGACCGCCCTGCTGACGTTACTCGCGAACCACGTAGGCGTGCCCCTCTCCAAGCTGCTCCTTGGACGCCCCTCTCTGCCACGTGGCGGTGCGTCGACCAACGGGGAGCTGCCACTTGGCAGCCCTCAGGGGCCGCTGGTGTGCGCTCTCCTGGCGTCCGAGGGGAGTCCGGAGGAGGCGGCGGAAGAGGCGCGCGAGGCCGTGACACGTGGCTTCTGCACGCTGAAGCTCAAGGTAAAGCCAGGATCGGGCACTGAATGATTACGTCACCTTGAGCGGAGGTGATGTTCCGCTATGTGAGATCACCGAACGAGAATGTGCAATCTTGTTGTTGAGCGGACGCAGTTGAGCTGTTAGAAGTTCCGGCGTAAAGTTCCCTTCGCTCATTGGCAGCAAAAAGCACTGGAAACGATCTCTTGTATCTCTAATGATTGGACATATACTGCAAAACAGACTTGTAGCGGGACCAACCATCTTCTGACATCCTTACACCTTTCCTGTGCTGCCAGGTGGCGCGCCGCAGCTCGCCTACCGCAGACGCCGCCGCCATTGCTGCCGTCAGAGCTGCAGTTGGGCCTGACGTAATGTTGCGAGCGGACGCAAACCGGCGGTGGACTCTCGACCAGGCGACGCAGTTTGGGCTGGCCGTCAGAGGTCTAGGTCTGCAGTACGTAGAGGTACAGAATTGTAACCTGCGTTTTGCAAAGCCGACTTCTAGGAGGACGGTTTCGAACCTTGTCTGTGTCGGAAAGCAATGCTTTCGATCTACTCCTTGATTTGACTGCCGGTGCATGGTGTCAAGAGCTTCGTCATCCTGCACCGGTTACCGTGCCTAGTTGCTTCACAGCTCAATCCTTCGAATAAGTGGACGCTAACTCAATACAGTAACCCGCTAATCCTTGAATAGCACCGTTTCTGTTAGGCCATTCCCTTTCCTCAACCTGCAACATTTGCATCTAATGAGTTATCAGAGTCTAGATTCCGAAACAGTTGACGCGATGAGGTTCCGATCAAGGTGCTAAAGACTTGCTCTCAAGTCGTGTCCGTGTCACTTGAACAGGAACCAGTGGACAACCCGTCCGATATTGCGGAGTTCCACCAGAGGACAGGTGTCGCCGTCGCATTGGATGAGAGCGTGGACGAGGGCCTGGTCGGGAACGCCCAGACGGATCTTCCACTGGGGACGCAGCAGAGCGTCGTGGCACTGGTGAGGAGGGGGATTCTTTATCGAGTTTCTTATTGGAGGATTGGCATGTCAGAACCCAAGGGCGGAGAGTACCGTCCTGTCGCCGTCTCTGATTTCTGCTTCGGTTGTTATTCCTTGTCTCAAAGCGACCAGAATGCCTGTCACGTTCAGAGCTTTGGTAGCCAAGGCGGGATGGTTGGATCTGGAGCCATGGATGTTCGAGCTTTTGCTTCTTTCGTTGTTGCGAAGTAAAGAGCGAAGAGTTCGATTCCGTCCGAACCCAGTATTATATCGTGAAAACGACAAGGGTGGGCACTGATAAGAGCAATTGCCAATCTCGGCAGGCCAACGGGAACGCCAACATAGAGAAGGGGTTGTGCTTGATCATCATATGATAAACCTCGCACTAAAAAGCATGTTAGCTCTACTTATTTACGCTGACTAGCCCGGCAAATTTGAAAGCAACTCCAATCAAGATTTTGGAACTTGCCGAGCCTCGTCGCTAGAAGAGGCAGCGAAGCTTCAACAATTTGACCCGCCGTTCTATGTTGGTCCTTGGGCCACGACATCTATGATTGCGAGAAAATTATAGACCTTTGACTACCTCAGGATAGAAGGGATGCAGACACGATAGATTGAAACCATCTGAGACAGCCTAGCTGACAGTCCATCCTCCACGCCAGGTCATCAAACCGTCCCGAGTTGGAGGCATCGAGGCGACGGCCGCCTTGGCACGCTGGGCTTCGAAGCGGGGCATATCGACCGTCATAAGTGCAGCATTTGAAAGCAGCGTCGGTTTGTCGGCATATGCCGAGCTCGCCCACTTTGTGGACGAGAACCGACGTGGATTAGAGGAAACGGCCGCTTCTAGTTCTGCAAACCCCGAAACCCCGGACCAAACGTCAAACCTCACCCCCCCGGCAGAGCCGTTCTCGGTGGCGATCCGTTCCGCCTTCGAGATGAGCGGCGTTCCGGTGAACGGAAACCCGGAGGTGCGGACGTTCCTGGACAAACTAGAGCGCGAGGAGAAGCGGGAGAGGAGGAAGAAGGAGCGGTTATTGGAGCGGGTTAGATTAAGGGAGATGGGCGGTCAGAGAGTGGCGCACGGGTTGGGCACGTTTGAGTGGCTGGCAAACGACGTGGTTTCGGGAAATGGGTTTGCGCTGACCGGAAGTGAGGGCCCGGGTCTCGAGGTGGATATGCAAAGAACGGCAGGCGTACTTGCTCAACCCGGTCTTGACACAGCGACCGTAACCGGGTTTGACTCGCTGACGAGGTCAGAGTTTGACCAAAAGGGGACAGACGAGCAGACCCGTGGTACCCCAAATCTGAGAAGTACACCGGAAAAGGAGGGTGGGGTGGACGAACTCGAAAGGTCGGTCACTGGGGTTGGTGAAACTCTGGGTGGAGGGGTGGGGTCCAGCGCAGCAGATCGTGAAGAGGTTGTAAAAACGGCACAGGCGGAGTACCGGTTCAGACTAACCGAGATTACGGACGGCGACCAAAGTAAGGAGGTATGCTGGCTTTTTTCATAAATGTATTTCCTGCAAGCATTATGCCTTCCTTAACAAGCAGATCTTCTTTGGACTGCTCATCTGCTCCAGATCCTTTTGCTTCTTGCTTTCAAAGGTTGCGGTCATCTTGGGTCTATATCTGCCAAAAGTAGTGTATGCGCAAAACTGGCCTCCTCGCTGAATTTGGAAGTGGCCTCATCTCATCTAGGGAGGCGCCCGTCCGCCCACGCTGTTGCCTCGTTCCGTTCGCGTTATGTTACGAAGCTGTTCAGCCCTCATGACGTCAGTTCGTCTCGTGCGCAGTTGCCGGGCGCTGATCGGCCCCTTGTCCTCTTCCTGCACGGCTTCCTGGGCTCCCGTGCCGACTGGTTCCCAGTCATAGACCACTTAACGTCCTCTGCCCGGTGCATACCTATCGATCTACCGGGGCACGGCCAGACAACTGTCCTTCCTAGACCCCCAAACCCTGAAAAGCCGAGCTTAGTGCAGTCGTCCGATAACGCCCTTGCTGCGGACGGTGGCTTTCCGGATGCTCCTCAAAGTGCCGGACTGTCCGCTGACGAGCTCGAGGAGCGTGACGTCAGCCGGATGTTGGATGACGTCAGCCGAGCGTACGGCGTGGAGAGCGTGGGCGGGGCCATTTCCGCGCTGATTGAACGGTTGCGAAGCGACGGTCAGAGGGTGGTGGTCGTTGGATATAGCTTGGGGGCGCGGGTGGCGCTATACCTGGCGGTCAAGCATCCGGACTTGGTGAGTCGAACACTTTCACTGAATTCCAGCAGATGTTAGTGTTAGGCCTCGGCCCCCAAGCATTCTGGAGCGTTTAAGGTTGGATCTTAAGGTCGCGGGAAGTCAGGTTACAGCGGCAATGAAGTAAAAGTAGGAAATTCCAGCACGACAGTTCTTAAAGATCCGGGTGAAAGCTCGCAAACGCGTCCGCTGCATAGGACATGCCTTCAGGGGTCCGGATCTCCCTTTCGGGGCCTGTTTAGATCCAAGGCCTTCTCGACCGGTCCAGCCATTCAAAAAGCTCCGCACCGAAGCACTGCCAGGGGACCATCTCTGACGTAAGATTCATCACACGTCAGCAATCTTCCGCTTCCCGGTTTGTCATCTGAAGCTTTGCTGTCGTGCATCGACAGATGGCCGACGTCGTCGTCATCTCCGGGAGTCCCGGGCTGGTGACGTCAGCGGAGCAGGAGGCGCGGGCGCAGCATGACGACCGCCTGGCGCAGGAGCTCTTGCGGGACGGCGCGTCGGCGTTCATTCAGCGGTGGTACGAGGCACCCATGTGGGACAGGTGGGGCACGCTTCTTGATTCGCACTAACATGGCGTGATGCAATGTGTCTTCCCAAAGGTTGTCACAAAGGTGTGCTGCCGCATTCGCCCACATTTGGAACCCTACTTGTCATCTGCATGTCTAATCTCGTGCCCATTTTGGCAAGTTCGAAGAGCGGTGTGCGTCTTTTAGGTGGTCCGTGTTGCGTCCTTCTGTAAGGTCCCACTGTCAACAAGGTGACAGGTCAACTTTGTAGGTTTTCACAAAATTCTTGAGGTCCCGGCAACAGGTTGGTAATCAAACTCCATGAGGGCCACAGATTGAGGAACGATACTCTGACACGAATCTACCCGCTGATGAAACCAATACTCACGCTCAGTAGCGCTCTCTCGTGCAGCCTACGAAGTCGTCCCGACTTCGAATCCTTACAAGCGGAGCGTATCGCGAGCGCCTCCGAAGCCGAGCTCTGCGCCGCCCTCCGAGGTCTCAGCACGGGACGCCAGCCTTCGCTCTGGCCAGACTTGGCCGGAATAGGGGGGAGAGTGTTTTGGGTGACCGGAGCACAAGACGCGAAGTTTGTTGGCATTTGCCGAGGGGTTATGGAGGCAGTGAAGGAAACGGGGCGCAAATGGACTTTCCTCGAGTTGGAGGGATGCGGGCATGCAGTACACGTGGAGGCCAAGGATTCGTTGGGGGTTGTGCTGCACGAGTGGCTTACTCCGTCAAGGGACGTTTGTTGACCGCTCTGGATTCTGAAAGTTGCGGGTGGCTTGCCTGTCCCCTTTGAATGGAGTACCTCGCAAAGTCAGCTTGCATTCTTATAGACTCTAGGAAGTGGCAGGCTTTCCGGTCATGCGCTCGTTGGCAAACGAGCGGGCTCGCATATCTCAATTCTGAGGCGATTGTTGAGAGCACGGGGGCGTACACTGAGCGGCTTGACTTGTTGTCGGCCGAATGCAGTGGACGTAATGCCTTGTTGATTGCACACTGTGAATTCTTTCATTGTGCGCTAGCAAATCAGTTAAGAGTCGAAAAACACTTGCAATCCTATATGAGAGGGCCGCCCTCTCATACAGGACTGCGATATTTTGCCGGGCAGCCCCCAGTGCAATCTTTACCTCGGGGAGTGAGCCCGAGCTGCGACATGAACATTCGATATTTTGGGAATGTATACGCGGTGCCAACTTCAGATAGACAATGCCTGCCGCAAACTTAGAGGCATGGTCGAGTAATTTGAGATCGACAGATCTGCTCGCAGCTAGAAACCTGAGCCAGGATTGACATGTGCCGTGCGGCCTCGGAAATCTGCTGAACATTCATGGACTGTCATTTCTATGACTGATGTATCAAGTAACGCTAGCTTTATTGTGTATACGCGTCATGTCAACAACCTACCGTGCGTACTTATTCCTCAGAATCTTTACATCTATAATTGATCCGGATCCCTTATATGGAATGAGCACACCTGAAGCCCCATAATCCACCCTATTGCAGTCGCGACCTATATGCTATTCAATGTCCTTAGAAGAGCTACAACGAATTCTAGCTGGACATCCTCTCCTACAACTTCGAACGCAGGAACATGTACAAAGAGCGACTCAGTGCCGTGAATCAGCGCGTGCCGGAGCGAATGGTAGTATACATAATTGCAAACAAAACGACCCGCGTCTGTTGACGGCGCACAATCGAAACCCTGCTTCCGCAACGCCCCAACGAGCTCGTCAACTGGAGCCACAGTCTGCATGGCAAGTAAGAAGTCCCAAATGTTAACCTTTGCTTCATATGGGCAGATGTTGGCGGATGGCTTTACTTCAATGCGCAAGCTAAGACTCAATCACTTGACCTTCCTTACTAGTTTGTTGACGGGCCGATAATCATCTTCACGTTTGAATAGCCCAACTAGAATTCCGGGAAAAAGTTTAAAATGGACTGACGTACTGAACACAGCATCTATCCGTTCTCGAAGAGCTCTTGGTCAAATAGAAAGACAGTTCTTCTATCTCCCAGGAGCAAGCAACTTTTGATTCAGAGAACAAGACCACCTGAACCTACAACCAGCAGTCTTCTGGTCCTAGAACCAAGGCAATCCCGATACTTTAACCAATTCGAACACTTTATTCAGGATGCACCTCCTGTACTACACTACGCCAGGTCGAGTTTTAAAGAAAAATTGGGTACTCATCTGTGGCTCATATGAATATTCCAATCCGCTATGGAAGACGCTCTTTTCTGGAAAGGTCTTTGTTTCTCTTAGCACACAACTCCCTTCCAGAGCTACCTTGAACCAGAAGAACGTTTCATCAAGCCTTGAATCAATTTAAGACCAAACAAATCTGGGCGGCTGCGTCAAAGGCCTTGTGCCGGATGCCAGTACCGCACACAACCTCAAGTCTTATTTGGTTTGACCAGAAAGACTCCCAACATTCGCAAACCCACCTCCCGAAAGAAGTCAAGGGGCCCGTCCTCAGGGAGGATTGGCTCCTTCCATGGCTGCCAGCCTGCCTCATCGGGGCACCGGAAAGTAGCCTCGTTGTAGGCTCGCCGCTCCAAAGCAAAGCGCGACGCACCGCCGTTGACGCCAAGATGAATCTACAATTGAAGGTTGAAAGAATTCTTGTATCTTGGGGGGAAAGCACCGATGAAACGGACGCTTATGCGACGTTCAGAAGGTTTTTATGACACCAAGTGCTGGAAAGTATTTAAGGGAACTCGAGTCAAAGCTCGTCGACAACCTGTAAAAAGGAAAGTCCTTCAGCAGTTGGAAGCAGAGCCCATAGTACCAGATGCAATCCCATCACTTGTGTATGAAAGAGATGTGGAATTTTGAAATCAACAAGAGGACAGGCACCTTTTAAAGAATCGGAGTTCAAGCGGCCCAAACAAAGAGTTTGAGGAGATGTCCTCTGAGGCCTAAGGGGCGATTCATACTGCCCTGCTTGCGGTTGGAGGGGCGAGGGCATATCCACCAAAACAAATGAAAACCAGTAAAACCTTTGATGTGACCAAAAGAAGTGCGATGTACACGCGACGTCCCCTCACCCAGATGATCTTTCCTTGGGCCGGTTTGCGTGGCGCTCCGTCAAGCAGGACCTTCCGACCTGCACCTCTGGCACCATTGACCTCGCTCTTGGCTTTGGTGTCTAGGGCGCTAGGCTGAAGTGGTCCATTCAGCAACTCGAGCAGTCTACCGAGAGCGCCTTTCCCAGCGGTCTCAAGAACCGTGCAGCTCTGTGGAGTCAAAGGAAGTAATGAGGGGGTTGCCAGATGAACGCTAAAGAATTGCAAAATGGAATCTGACATCAAGTGATTGTTTCTTGGAGAAAGGAAACTGTTGTCTTCACAGCATTCGACTACACGACCATCACACTATTTCAGCGGCTGACCTCAAACGGGATCTCAGCACCATGCAGCACCATGAAAATATCCTTTGAAGATTTGCCTGGTGCCGCCAGTAATCTCCAAAAGATCGCGGCAATTGAATCAAGCAATGCACCGCTTGTGTTTTCCTACTGAAAGTTCTGGACAACCATGTGAAGCACACCCAGCAGATTAAGGACTGCAGTCAGTCAGCATTTTCTGACCTCGTGCAGTGCACAGTGGTCAAGAAAGGTCAAGAATAGGCGCCATGATATCTGCAGGCTAAGCAAAACCTCACCTCCAGCAAAATCGGAGGCCCGCCCTCCTCCTTGATATAATTTCTTAGCTTCGACACTAGCGTCTCGGTCGGGTTGTCAGCAACTCCATGGAACTTGCTGAATCCTGTGATGTTGAACCGGACGGCCTCTAAGCCCCCCTCAGAACCCATCGCTTCTCGCCGCCGCTTCGCAATGCTGAGACTAGGTATACACAATTGAGAAAGTAATGCCAACGCATCTCCTTAGCTCAGCGTGTTCAGCAAGATGAGCACAAAACCCTGCTTGAAAACACTTCCACCTATGCCAAGTCATTAGCTAATACTTGCAGCAAAAATGGAAGTGTGCACACGGGTACACACCCACACCCTCCTCACATCTAGACCTCTGAATGCCTCCACTACCTTCAGCATTTGCCCTTCATCTGGGACCAGATCTTTATGGAAGTCCTGTGTACCAACTTTCTGCAGACTGCTGTGCTGACCTACTGTCACTGAAGGAGGAAGGGCCCATTTTCCTGATTTTCTGTTGACCACCAAGCATTGCAAATCAAGCGGTCAAGCCGCTTCTCATATTGCTGTTGTCACATTCGAGATGGACTGGGAAAGTGAACTGCCGTAGTCATTATGCAGCAGAGATGCGGAGACCCTGTGAACCAGGGTTGCTCGCCGCGTCGCTGATTCTCTGCCTGTGCGGCTGCCAGCTTGAGCTGGCATCTCTTTCTGTGCACAGCACTTGATGCAATGAACTGACACAAACTACCTTTGTTGTCCTTTGACCCCGATTCAAGAATCGGTACACCATATCACGTCGACTGGGTGACAAAAGCTACTGGCCGAAGCCCGTTTCTATTTTTGAAACCCCTTCCTCTCCAAACCAGTCGCCTCCTGCTTTCTCCCCCCTCTTTCTGCGGTTGCTCTTCCAGCGTCTTTGGCCGCAGCCGCCCGCCATGGCGATCCCCCAGGTCGAGGTCAAGCTCTTCGGGCAGTGGTCCTTCGAGGATGTCGCCGTGAGTGGCTACCCATTCTGTTCCCTTTGTGCAGGTGTGATGATTTGGGATTGGTAACGGTGCGCGAGATGGTTAAGCAGCATGACGAGTTGGCTCTTGCCGTTTGCATGATGGGATATAGAAGGCAACTAGGGGCAAGGCAATCAACCGACTGGAGCTGGGAGGCAATGGGGGGAAGCAAGGGTATGATGGATTACGAACAGGGTCAGCGGCTGAGGTGTGGCCTTGCAAGAAGAGGAGGCATCTGTAGCGAGCTTACAGTAGCAGAGGAAGGGGTTGTATTTGCAGGCAACAGGCGTCAGTTTTTGTTGATCGAGCTGCCCATTGCATCACAGACATGGAATTTCCACAATGTTTCCGAGATGAGTAGAGAGTTCTGGAGGCATCATAGTGCTCCATGCTTGAATTTTGGGTTCTCTGAAACTGGACCGAGGGCCATGCGTAAAAGGCTCCTGAGCAGAGTTTCGCTCCAGCAGGCTCCACTCGCTGGAAGATACACAACTATTGCACGTGCAGCCATTCCGGCATGGTAATGGTCATCTCCAGCATCATTCATTGGACACATGGGCCCTATTGTATGCCAGGCCGATGGGCTGGTAACGGTATATCTTTGGGTGGGTCTCGAGACAGGCGGTTTGCGCTGGCAACTTATCTCTTTTTTTCCTTTGAACCGTTGTGCTGGCTCTACAGGTCAGCGACATCTCCCTGGAGGATTACATTGCCGTGAAGCCCAAGTTCGCCACATTCGTGCCCCACACTGCAGGGAGGTACCAGAACAAGAGGTTCAGGAAAGCACAGTGCCCAATTGTGGAGAGGTGAGATTTTATTGTGCATCAGATGATTCTGGTTCGCAGGAGGTGCTAGTGTTTGCTGAGGTTTCTCATAAGATTGGCGTCCAGCAGCCTCACTTTGGTCCTAACATGTTTCAGCCACGGTTGAGCCATATTTCCGCCAGGTAGACGGGAAGCGGTAGACACGACAAGTGAGCTTGGGCTAATTTGTGAGCAGGCTACTCGGCACCATTATTCCTACCCCCTTGCCTCTGTAGGGGGAGCGGATTCTCAGTCCAAGGCCTCAAGCAGCTGTCTCGAGGCTATCCCAAAATGTCTGCTGTGGTGCTGATCCCCGACGGCACAGGAATCACATCTGAGCAGCTCTGTCTAGTGTCTTATGGACCACTGTGCTGTGGCAGGTTGACCAACTCGCTGATGATGCACGGGCGGAACAACGGAAAGAAGCTGATGGCGGTGCGCATCGTGAAGCACTCGATGGAGATCATCCACCTGCTGACGGACCAGAACCCCATCCAGGTCGTGGTGGATGCCATCATCAACAGGTGAGCGGCAAATCGTGGTACGGGGGCCTTCAGAGAAAGGGAGTATAGTACAGGAACGGTCACTTTTGGAGTTGTTTACAGCACAGGGAACGGTGAGTTGCATCTTCAAGACGCCTGTGCTGGCTGAAGAGCTGGGGAGAGGGGGGCGACAAGAGAAGGAAGCGGGCAAGCAGATGGAAGAAAGGGACTGGATGAGTTGAAGTTGATTAAAGCACGCGGACAGCCCCAAGGGGGTGGTTAACCCGACCACATGAGCATGGACGGCTCTTCAGTAGACGAGGGCTGTGCTACAGGACCGCGCGTATCATTGCAATGCAGCCCTTGGAAAACTGGGTCGGGATCTGCCGTTTCAAGGTCCTTAGGTTTGAGCTTTAATAGGCGACCATTTCGTGGGATTTGTCCCACCTAATGATGCTGCAGTTTGGAGATGTACGGGCGAAAGGGGAGGGTAAAGAGTGGGCCGAAAAGTAGATAATGGTATCCAGCAATAGGGGAACATGGCCGAGTGGGATGTTGTTAACGAGTTGCGCCATTGGGTGTGACCCAGCCGGCTAAAAGGCCTAGCTTGGGGGCCAAGCCCTGGGCAGGTGAACGGCGTTGTGGAAAGATTCGGCCTGAACGGAACATTGGTTGTGGTGTCAGGTTTTGCAAAAGTGTGGTCTCAGCGTTTGGTTGCGCTCAACCAGAGGTTAGGTCGTCCTTGTGGGAGCTTGAAGGGTGTTGGGTTTTTGTAATTTCAGGATGTTTCGTAGTATTCTCGATGAAGGTGCTCAAGATGTCCATGTGCCACAGTCACTGCCAGGGAAAGCGTTAGTATGTGCTTTGTTTACACCTTGACTTCCAGTCATCAACAATGTAACGACAATAACCCTGGCTCGAGTCTTGCAATGAGTCTCCCCTTCATTCCTTTTTCCTTGAGCTTGTCGTTTTCTTCGTTCGTTCAGTTTATTATAGAAGGTTCGAGCTTGTGCTCTTTGCCTCGGACGCTGGCACCCCACAGGGAACACGGTTGTTTTCCATCGGTGTGGTCGGAGATGTTGGTCCTGCTTTTTGCATTTCAAGGTGCGTTTTCAGATGTGAACCTCGCCCTTCCCTTTTTGCAGCGGCCCCCGTGAGGACGCCACCCGTATTGGCAGCGCCGGTGTGGTGCGGCGGCAGGCCGTCGATATCTCCCCCCTGCGGCGGGTGAACCAGGCCATCTACTTGCTCACGACTGGGGCGCGTGAGTCGGCCTTCCGGAACATCAAGACCATCGCCGAGTGCCTTGCGGACGAGCTCATCAACGCCGCCAAGGGCTCCTCCAACAGGTGAGCGGGCACTTTACTGTTCGGTTTGAGATTGGTCTGAAGTTGGATGTTGAGAAGGTGGTCTTGCATGGAAAGCGGAATTGATAATAGGGTCAGGACGCTTGCAGATTCTTTTTGCTTTTGTGCATATCCGAGTGGAGGAGCGTGGCCTGCTACTCGATCCGTCGAGCATGGATCGAGCGTTGAGCTTGTCTTCGTTTTAAGTTCCGATTATGAAACACAGTAGAACATGGCAGACTGTGTAACGTGGAGATTACGCAGAGCTTGGCGCGTATCAGAATCTCGAGAATCATATAGAGCATGGCGAGTCTGCAAAGACTGCAATCGTTGAATTCCTTCGATCTACATTTCAGTAGTCGTTCTTCACTTCGAAGCACCCTTGCCACGACTGAGGGAACTTTCAAGCCCCTGTGATCCTGTGTTGTTGGTATTAACAGTGAGGTCTGACATGGTTCCACGCAGATCCATAGCTTGTTTTTCGCGGCATGAACTCAAGTCTTGTCGTACTGTTTGCAGTTACGCTATCAAGAAGAAGGACGAGATTGAGCGTGTGGCTAAGGCTAACCGTTAAGCGGCAGCATGCTGGATCTTTTGCTTTACAAACACTGTACATCACCTGCTGAGAAAGTCGTCCTAACAGAGGGCTTTGACTAGCCCGCTCGTGCAACATTCGTTTTGCGTCCGCTCAACATGCGTGCATCTAACTTCCATAATGATGGTGTGCACTGGAATTGATGGTAAGCTGTCATTGATGTGGGTTGCTTCCAGTAAAACCCTCGTATTCAGGGTGCTCGGACACGACTTTGATTGCAATCAGAGTGTGCTTGAGCCCTCATGCAACGAGGATGTCGTTTCTGAATCAATAGTAGTATAGTTCGTAAACGGGTTAAGCAGCGCAACAGTTCCACTAGCTGCATACGCGCATACACTGCGCGCACCATCATGTCAGGCAGCCGGAGTCACTTGGCAAAATTTAATGGTTTGCGTGGATCCCCAGGCATGCAATTGAAAGCTAGGGCTCCGCTGCATAACATCATGGCCTAGCATGCTCTGTGCGTGCATGACAATTACCTAGGTTGTCACTTGACCACGTATAGCTTTTAAGCCTGTGTACCTGTCCACTCGATCGTCATATATGACGGTCAGTGGAATGCTTCAAAACAATTGCGCGCAATTGCAACCGCATTCATTGAATCGAGCTTGCAATGTGCAACGGGAGCCATCTATACATAAGTTCACAGCATATAAACATTTGTCGCGCCAGATTGTATCGCGACCGGGTTATCTCG